GGCACTGACTGGATGCTCTGCGCTGCCATGGCAGCTGGCTGGATGCCCTGCGTGCTGATCTGGGCGATGCGGTCGACCGTCATCAGCTGCATGGAATTCAGGTGGACGGTGGGGGCCACGCCCACACCGGTCTGCTGTGGCATGGCGGAGCTGGGGGCTTGTGGGGTCACTGAGGGGGGGAGGACACATGCCTTTAACTGGTGGGGCAGAGCAGGGGATAAGGAGAGAACAAGAACGGCCGGTACCTGGATACTGGCGGATGGTGGACACCGTGCTGGTGATGGGGGTGTAGGTATGCGTCAGCGGGTAGGGGGACGAGGAGTACGTGGGCAGGAAGTACTGAAATTGCACTGGCACTGGTTGCCTGTAGGGGGCATACATTGTACAGATTGTTTATTAATCGATTTTACTAATTAATTCTGATCACATACAAGATTCTGTATTCAAGGTGTTGGAAGTCTGCTAAAGAATGAAGTACAAGAGTCACCTGGTAAATCAAGCGTTAACAAAATATTCAACATGTCTTTGCCTAAGTCCTGTCCCCACCATGCCTGCCATCAATCACCTGTTATCGCTCCTGGTCTCCATGGTGACTGGATTGGGGGAGGAGCGGTGGGTGGGGAGGGGAATGATGTTCCCCCGGTCCACGGGGTAGTCCGGCTGGATGCGGGGGGAGGTGTGAGCGATGGGCTGGGGCACCACCTTGGCTGTGGGGGGGGGGGGGGGGGGTGGAGAGGGTCAGCGAAAGCTCAGGGCTGAGAAGTCCGCAGACACGGCGAGGACAGGCAGGGGGCGAGCTTACCCACGGGGATGGCGGAGGTGGTCACCGCCGTAGCGTGGGACGAATGGGAAGCCATCGTCATGGTGACAATGTTGCTGGTGGTCATCTGCGTATGGGGCACAGAGCCTGGGGGAATTTATAAAGGCAGAATTTACGAAGGGGGCGCTGCCATTCCCACCTTCCGCAGCCAACCAGCAACCCGTCCCCATGGCCCCGTGCTGGGGGGGACGGCTACTGGAACTGTGCATGGTTCTATAGTCTTTACACAAATAGTCCCACCCACAATAGCATTTTTAGTCACCGGCAAACAAAGAATTTCCACTGAATAACTGCTGAGATTTCCTTGCAAGGTCAGATAAAGGTCAGAATGCTCCTACCGGTAGTGGTGGGTGATGGCACAGTGTTGGTAGCCAGGATGGGGGCCACTGTCGCCGCGGCGACGGGAGTCACGGTGCTGAAAATGGACTTCTGCGAGGAGAGAAGGGATGATGTCAGAACGAAAAGAGGTGACAGGCTGGCAGGGTGGGGGGAGGCGGGTCGAACCTGTGCCATGGCGTGGGGGACCTGGGGCTTCTGCGTGCCCATGGCGGGGTGGGAGGGCAGCGTGATGCGAGTGGCTGTGTCGCGAGGGGGGGGCGGCCGCTGGATGCTGATGGTGGCCGGGGGGGGGTGCATAGTGAGGCCTGAGCGCCTGGAAGGAAAGATGACATGGGTCACAAGGGTGATAAAGGAGGAGTGTGACCATGTGCAATGGGGACGGATGCAGACGCAGCTGCAGCGTGGGCTGGAATGAACAGCGCAAAGAGGGTAGGTGTCTGTAAACTTCATATTCCATGTAGGCATCTAAATCGAATGAATGCAGTCCAGTACTGTCATGTGACCAACAGTCATGTGACCAACAGTCATGTGAGCACAGGGGCAATACAAGACCCCAAGTCCTACTCACCCCTGCAGCATTTCCGCCGGATGTGTGGCTGCCGTGGTGATGACGGGGGACTGGGCTCGGGTAGCGGAGACCGGGGCCACCACCGTGGGCAGCACGGCTGTGGAGGTGGTCACGATGGGGCGTGACTGGGGGGGGAGGGGTCACAGAAAATTTATTAATGTTAGGCTCCACCTCCACAGCTTATAAAGTCAAAGTTTAGGTTCTCTGATGCGGACAAGAGATGCACCTGAATGGGCTGGTGGATGATGTGCTGCACTGGGGGCTGGCCAGCACCGGCGCTCGGACCCGAGGCGGGCCGGAGGACGGTGGGACCCTTGGTGCTGGACATCACAGCGGCAGCAGCAGCTCCTGGTGACGTGGGACGGAGGGATGGTCACTACCGGCAACGCCTCACGGAGACGCTCGACCACAGCCAAACCGACCATCACAAGGCCGCAATGTTTCAACACCCCCGCCTCCCCCCCCACAAGAAGCTCACCTTTGGGCAGATGGGAGGTGAAGGTATGAGGGGGTGGCGCTGACGAGCCGATCTGGAGGGCAGGTGTGCTGCTGCGGATAATCTGCACGTTGGCGGCCATCAGGTGGTGCAGGTTACTGGAATGGCCCTGGAACGAGAAGCCGGCCTCGGTGAAGCGGCCCTCTGAGGCAGAGCACCCCCATGAGCACGCCCGAAGATGGGCGGGGAGTCGCACCTGCTGCCCGCTGATGGTCGCCACAGGAATCGCCGGCGTCTGAGGCATGCTGCTCTCCATGGTGACAGTCACGTGGCCCGGCACCTTGGGGGGCAAAGCGAGGAGGCCCTGGGTGGAAGCCGGGGCAGGGGCGATCAGCCGACTGGGCATGGGCGTCTTCAGGGTGGACTGGTGAATCGGACAGCATTGTGACCAATTGGATGGCTCGGGGCCCACATTAACCAATCAGAGCACACATGCTGCCATTTTATGTTAACATCTATCTGCAGTAAACATAATACTGCACGGGAGTTTTAGCTTTCGCTCATTAGCTCACTGAACACACAGCAAACCCATGCTGATTAAGCTAGACGCTGTCGCAACTGGTCATTTGCATTTACGCATATTTGCAAACACTGAAAAATTGCAGTACTGTGAGTCTGCCTTGATGACACGTATCGCAAACGGGAGCTGAGCCAGTACCTTCATAGGCCCCTCTGCGAAGGCCAATGGGAGGGCCTGCGTGATGTGGGTGGGCGGGGCCGACACAGTGACAGGCGTGCCAGGCTGGATGGGTAGGTGCTGGGGCACGGTCAGGGGCTGTCCATGGGCCTGCACCTGTGGATAGGGCCTGACGACCACCGTCTCCTGCTTGTCGTCTCTGAATGGCAGGCTCCCAGCCCCACTGGGGGGGTGTTCCCGTGGCCCATGGTCAGCGTCACGGCAGCTCTCCTCACTACCCCCTGTGGGGAAGAAGTCAGTATTACAGCTAATGCTAGCACCAACACTACCTGTCCTTACACATACATGCTTTGCTGGCACATAACAAGCAGACAGGTTTCCCCCTCCCCTTTTAAACCCGTCACCATACCTTGATTTGACTGACTTCCCGGTACCATGGCGCTGCTGGGAACCGGAGCTTGCCCATGGCCCGGGGGAGGGACTCCGGACCGCGGAAACTGCTGAGAGCTCATCTTCAGACGGACTGTCGATCTGCATACAAACAACTTAACTCATTCAATGCAAATCTCGGTATTAGCGAAAGGTAAAACTATTTCACCATCATATGTTTTGCTTGATTAATTCAGCATAGGGAACACAGGCTGACTGCTAATGTTAACTAAATAAGCTAGCAGCAATACGACTCGGAATTATGAGATGGCAAAGAAGAGAAATTAGCAGTATCCCCTTCAAGTGCGTGATGCAAAGCTTCCCCACTGCAATGCTACCAACAAACGCGGAGTGCATGTTAATCAGACACCCAGCTAAGTGACTTCACACGGTGGCGGATCCGCAAACTGGATTAATCTCTAGACCAGTATGATAGCACAGATGGGTAGCTACGTGCTCACGTAGCTTCACGATCGGATTATCGCCAAAGAACGGCTTTCACAAGAAAAATCTCTGGAGAAACTGTATGTGCAAGGAGAAAAGCAATATGTCGCTGGGTTTCGATACATTTTTTAATTAGAAAGGCATCCAAGCCAAGTGATGTGAATCCGCGCTGACATCCAACTACGGCTTAATGAACTAACCGGCTAGTCAGTTATATCGGTAAGAGGGCGCAGGCTGCATCATTCTTTTTAGACCAAGGTTTCATCCAGGAATTAAAGCAAACGTTCTTTTGAGCGCATTAGAAAGTAATGTGCACACAGCATAAAAGGCGCCCTCACCAAAACGGCTTCTTCAGCTTCCTTCGGGCACAAGATCTGCTGAACTTCTAAATCGGAGACCAGAACACAGTCTGAGGCGGCTCTTGGTTCGCATCGATCAGGAAGCCTCCTTAACTTTGAGTTTTTCTTGCGATTGGAATTTTGGTATATATAATCCAACTCATCGTAAGCCGTATTTTTGTACGGGGGGGGTCGATCTTCTCTACCCGTCTCTTCGACAACACTTATGAGTCACACCGGAAAAGGCGGAGTCTCTGGCAAAAAGGGAAAAATAACATCCAATCGGATTGCGGGATTGGAGCGGCGCCGTCCAATGGCACACGAGCTTCTGTCGGGCGCGGGTGCGTGCTGGGCACGGCCCAATCGTCCGGCGCGTTCTTGTGTCGCGTGGGGATGAAAAAAGCCACAAGGAGAACGAAGTCAACCATCAGCCCGCCCCTAGTGTAAACGTTTCAGCCCTGGATCAAAAAAGAAAATTGTTAAAATACATGTAAACCAAAAGAACCTGCGAGCTCGTTTCCAATTAAATTTTGCACAGTCCTTTAATATCGTACTTCAAAATTACAGAATAGCGACAATATTTTATCCATTATAATAACCGGTTCCACTGGTAATACTTCTCTCCTTAAATACTCAAAAACTTTAGACGCAAGTAATTCATTTTTGATTATAAGTCAGTCAGTTCGTTGACTTGTTATTTTTCTGTTCTGAATATGTATTTGACGGTCAGAACTCTCACTATATTGCGATATTTAACCGGCTCTTTCATTTCTCAGCGTGCTATGATCCACTTCCTCGGCGCATAAAAATGTGTTTATATTAGTGGCTGCTATGGCAGATCCAGCCGTAATGGATAATAAGTGAAGTATCAGTGGGTTTCAAAGCATATTGTTCAGAGGCGTACAGCTGTAAAAGAAAGTGAGATTATAAGACAATATGAATTGCGAAACGGTATGTAACGGGAGGGAGGCTTTTATTTTGAAGTGTCTAAGCCCAAAAGCCACCGGAAGTACGTTTCAGCACCGGCAGACTCTGGAGAGGATGAGCCATAAGTTTGATGGGCCGCCACCCAATTACATCAAAACCTACCCGGCTGACATCAGCGTGGAGGGCAGTCCGGCTGTCCTCCGGCACAAGGCCATGTTGGAGCCCGATAACACACCTTTTAAGTATGTCCACCCCCCTCACCGACCCTTTGCAGAGCACCAACTGTTTTATCTGCAGCTATCTGTGACTCCTGCTCTCCCCAGGACGAAACACCACTTATGGTTTCCTGTAAGGCGTCTGTGGCACTTCTTGGTCAAACAGGAAATCCTCCAGGAGATTCTGATCCGATATATCTTCAGTAAGAAGCGGAAGCAGACTGAGGTAATGAGGCAGAGCTGAGTCTGTCCCCCCACGCCTGGAAACACCAGCCTCGCTCCCTTTTCCTTTCATAATCATCCCGGGGAAGTTGCATTTGCCCTTAACACCTGTATTACCTCCCGTTGCTGCTATATACTGCAGTAATTGTCATACATGCCTGTCACTTGTCTTAGCGAGTCTAAGCATTGCCCCTCTTTGGCCTGCTGCTTTTGGGTGTAACATCACACAAATATATCAGTGAGTAATACGTTTTCTTGTCTGACATGCATTTTTTCTCTCTCTATGCTTCTGTGCACCAAAAGCTTTTTTTTTTCGTGCCCAGATACGGGGAGAGTTTCACTCCTCATGCTGCGTGCGCACCAATCGGCAGACGTGTGGAGGGATCGCGACCCACACGCTCCAGTCTTTCCGTGTGGGGCGGGTGGTGCAGGGCAGCAGGCTGGATTAGCCCTAATTCCACCTGCTGCCATCGCCCGTGTCCGGACGCTTTTTTATCCTCCCTGTCCTTTTAGCGATCGTGATTATTTTACACTGGGTTTGGATTTGGGGAGGGTGGTCCGGGTTATTGGATTTTAAACGTGTGTCTTTTGAATGATTTTACTGTTAGGGTTTGAGTAGAAGACGTTTTGTGGAGGGGGGTGTGATCTCCGTTGTTTTTAGTTGATATTCAGGCGGGGTGGGAACTTTTAAAGCGTGAAGTAGCGAGTGTTTTAAGACTCGAGGATGGTTGTACAGCAGGTGTTGAGCAAGCTGGAGCTGGTTGTTGTTGGTCGGGGGGCGGGGATCCTTTACGGGTCTCTGCTCTCCAGGATGAATTCTCTCCTATATGAGAGAAAGCAGACAGGGGCGGCGGTCAGGAGCGGGGTGCGTTTCATTGCGCTGGGTGAAGTGTCTCCTACATTTTTTTCGAGTGTTGAGGAGTGGAGGGGGGCGGCCGGCCTATTGCTTGCAGTGACATAGATAGATACTTTATTTATCCCCAAAGAGGAAATTCGGATATCCAGTAGCTCCTTTTTTTGGGGCTATTGATTAGCACTACGGTGGCCTTACTCGACAAAGTAGCTCAACTCGTTTCAGATCAGCGACCAATCGGTCATTTAGAGACAGGCATGCATTCTACGGCAGGGATGCCTTTTTCGGCATAACACCGGCTCCGGAAGCGCCCTTACGCCAGAATTTTATCGGGCTTTTAACGTAATTTTAGTCCCGATTTTACAGGTTTTATATAATGATATTTTAGACAGTGGCGAGATGAATGGCACCATCAAGCTGGGGCTTTTAAAGCTTTTATATAAGACGACAGATGAGAGGGACAATTTAGCGAATTATAATCCCCTCACCATGCTAAATACGGATGATAAGATTTTAGCCTCTGTCTTAGCATCCCGCCTCAGCCGGGTAGTGCCGCCTCTCGTGTGACCCCACCCAAGCGTTTGGAGTGGTGGGCCGTAGCATACTGGGTACCATCAGAGATGTGCAGGTGGCGGTTGGCTATATAGAAACGGCAGGGACCCCTGGAT